CTGGAGATGCGCCCATAACCAAGGTACATGCCCTTGACTGGAATCGAACCCAGGACCTTTCAGTCCGCAGACGGACGTTCTACCACTGAGCCAAACCGGTTTCGACATATGTGTACATTTTCTTTTTTAAATATATTTTATTGATTTTGTACAGAGAGGAAGGGATATAGAGGGTTATAAACATCGATGAGAGAGTCATCGATCAGCTGCCTCTTGCACACCCCCTACTGGGGATATGCCCGCAACCAAGGTACATGCCCTTGACCAGAATCAAACCCGGGACCCTTCAGTCCCCAAGCCAATGCTCTATCCATTGAGCCAAACTGGTTTCGGCTATGTGTACATTTTCTTATTCATTTTTTGGTTTTGAGTATTTCCTCAGTGTTTTCAACACCTGATACCCAGAATGAGTAGTGGGCTGGTCAGTGCTGAGTATAATGTGAGGAATAGAGAATTTTCTTTGGTTGATTTACAGGCTTTCAAATACAGAAACTGGTGAATTTGACACAATGAAGAAGACATTTTTTTATATTTTTAAACTCAACTTTGAAAACCTGTGTGCCATTATTTTTAATAAAATGAGAGTGAAACCATAAGTTATTGTAGAAGTCTTCCAATTTCCCAACTAATAAGTGTTATCAAGCTGATAACTTGATAAGAGAACATTGCACACTCCTCAAATATGCTGGTGGTACCCTTATAGGTGCAAAGGGGTCATGAAGCTTTGTGCCTTTTGTCACACTTTACCCAAAGGACATGTCAAATGATGTACTTGAGCTTTTAAAAATTTTCTTAACATTAAGTTTATCCTAAAACAAATATTGTTGTAGAATTTATCTCAGTGGAATTTGGATTCAGAAGTACCTGTTCCTGAGAATAAAAACCTCCCCCCTGGAAGGGATAGTGCAGCAGGTGGTAAGAAATCCTAGATGTCTATATACTTATATTTATAAATATATGAAAAAGTATTGATATGAATAACCACTCATATAAAAGGGGGTTTGTTTTTAGTGCAACCAACCTTATGTAACTATTAATTGTTATTTTTTCTTATATACATTCTTTCAGGCAAAATTAACAAGGTAAGGATAAATATTTGGCTTTAAATAATTGACAAAACATTTTAAAATTAAATGCTATATTCTTTTAAAACTTCTTTACTCAAAATTAAACTTTATATTTCATGTCTGCAGAATTTTTTTAATCAATTCAAAGCTGTTGTTTTCTTATGGCTGCAAATTGGTCATTAAATATCTTGTTTTTTTCAATATATAATACTATATATGGAAATTAACTTTATTGTGACTATAGTATTTTCTAGTCATTGCCAAAATTGTCTCAACCCTTAAAATAGCTTAAAGTAGTTGAAATTGTTAATATTTTATTTTGAAGTAGTGAGAAAATTAATTTCATTTACCTTTTTTTAAATCAAAATATGAAATACTTAACTGTTAGTAAAATATTGGTAACTTTAAATAGTATTCAAGCCTCATTAGTAAACACTGTTTAGTTGGTATTTATAAGATTACTAGAGGCCCAGTGCACAAAAATGTGTGCACAGGGGTGTGTCCCTTTGCCCAGCCTGAATCCTCTCCAGTCTTGGACCCCTTGAGGGATGTCCGACTGCCCGTTTAGGTCGAATCCCACCAGGACATCCCTCTCATAATCCATGATGGCTGGCTCCCAACCACTCGCCTGCCTGCCTTCCTGATTGCCCCTAACTGCTTTTGCCTGCCAGCCTGATCACCCCCTAACAACTCCCCTGCCAGCCTGATTGATGCCTAACTGCTCCCCTGCCAGTCTGTTTGCCCCCAACTTCCCTCCTCTACCAGCCTGACCACCCCTAATTGCCCTCCCCTGCTGACCTGGTCACCCCTAATTGTCCTCTCCTGCAGACATAGTTGCCCCCAACTGCCCTCCACTGCAGGCCTGGTCTCCCCAAATGTTCTCCCCTGCAGGCGTGGTCACTCCCAACTGCCCTCCCTGGCCGGACATCTTATGTCTATATGGGGGCTGCCATTTTTTACTATAGGGGTGGCCATCTTTGTGTTGGAGTGATGGTCAATTTGCATATTCCTTTTATTAGATAGGATCCTAATTCCAGTGAAGACAGTAAAAAATGGTATCTGTATTTTCAAAGGAATATATATTACTATATATTTCTTTATTGGAACTATATATCCCTTAGTTACAACTACCCTGTTTCCCTAAAAAAATAAGACAGTGTCTTATATTAATTTTTGCTCCCAAAGATGCGCTAGGTCTTATTTTCAGGGGATGTCTTATTTTTCCATGAAGAAGAATACGGTACACATTTATTGTTAAATGAAAATAAAGGAAATTTATTACTTGTATACGATACGGAGATACGGTAGTTGTCAACACAAACCACACAAACTGTGAATCCTACAGTATCAAGAATTTACTCATTTATTCAATGACAATCATGTCATCATCTTCTGGAACATCATCGTAACAATCCAATTCCTGAATTTCATGGTGAATTTCTTATGACTCCATTTCTTTTAGAATCAGTGGACCAAATCTCTCATGTTTAGCCTGGGGTGGGGGTGGGGGGGCGCATTTTTTGGGAGGATGCCTTATATTTCACTTAGAAGGAAACCTGTAAGTAGGTCTTATTTTCAGAGGATGTCTTATTTTCGGGGAAACACGGTATCAGTCTTAGAAGAAGAGTGGGGACTAAGATAGTGTTTAAAAGTCTTCTGCTACCCCCAACTTCTTAGAGGGACAAGTGGCGTTCAGCCACCCGAGACTGAGCAATCACAGGTCTGTGATGCCCTTATAGTCGGTGGAGCGATTTGTCTGGTTAAAAGTCTTCTGCTGGTTTATAGACCATTGGAAATTCCAGTAGAGCAACTGATGCTAGAAATTAATTTGTCAGAGCATGCTCAAAAAAGAACACAGGTGGGATTTTATTCATCATACTCCTTTTCTAAAGTTTTTTTTTTTTTTAATGCTTTTACTAAAATGTTGCCCATGACTTTTCTGTTATCAGAATAATAAACAAGGTATATTTCAGTTATGGAGTTATCCTCTTAAAGAAGGAAGTATCATGGACAACAGGTAAAAGGATATTTTGTAAATCCCTAAATTAGTGAAATAAATTTAAATATAAATGAGATAACTATCTGAAATACTAGGACAAAAAACTACTGGAAGAAAATGTATAACAGTACCTATGTAAGGGATTGTTATGAGGATTAAATGAGTTAATATATATAAGAAATTAACAGAAGAACGAATAATGGAGTGCAGACTAGGATGACAGACATGGGATCCTACCACTTGAGTTTAAATCCAAGCTCCACTAGATGTTTCCTCAGTTTCCCCAGAAAGGTAGAACATAAAAATGCCTATTTCATGGGGTTATTTTGAGGACTAAACAAAATAATGTGTTTGATAGGCATTTGCTGTTAATACTGCAAAGGCCTAATAGAGTTGGAAATGTGTTATCAATGAAATATTTCATTATGGAGATTTTTTTCTCTTCAATATACCATCAAGTAAAGACAATAAAAGTAATGGTAACTTTTATTCATTGTTAAACATTTTTGCAAAATACGTTCATATAATAATTTTGTTAGATCACCTCCAAGGGAGACATCCTCATTTCCATTATGCTCAGTGTTGGCAAAGAGGTTCAAACCTAGGTCTTCTGTCCCTAGATTCTATGTTGTCGATAATAGACACGACAGGGATTCTGTCTATTATCAATTTCAGATTTAAAATAATCTTTCTATGGTTTTTCAAAGGCAAGTCAGGGGGTGGGGAACATCCAGTCAAAGGGCCATCCATATAAGGCCCATGAAATCATTCGGTCTGGCCCTGAAAAGGTATTAGGGGTGAGTTAAATGTTTAACTAAATATAGCAGGTTAATTTTTAAGATGGTAATTTTGTATTGTCCACTAATTATGTTATAAATATCCAAAATGACCCTTGGCAAAAAAAAAAAAAAAAAGGTTCCCCACCCGTGAAAATGAATAAATTACCATTTTCTGTAGGAATGTGAAAATATTTTTCACAATCTTTCAATATTACTTTGCGGTGTTTACTGTAAACTGGCTTTAAAAGAAGCAAGAGTTAATGAAACTATATTCAGGGTGTCCCTCTAAAAATGTATACGCACAATGTCTATAGATTCTATTACATTTTGAAAATGAAATATACTTTAGTAAACACTGCCTTTATAATTATTCAAAGTGTATATACATTTTTTGGAACACCCTATACATATGCCAATTAATTGATCAAATCTTTCAATGTCAGTATTTCTAGTAAGCTTTAGCAAAAATTAACTACAAACTAAACTCAGTATTCTATGGGCTGGCTTTTTTGCAGTTTTCAATTTAACATAATACCCAGAAGTATTTACTCCTAAAGCAAAAGACCACCATCAGATGAAAATTACTATGGACTATATCTGGGGTAATTTTTGTTTGATAGACATTGTTTTGCTCTTTTTTTTGTTAGAATCATTTTTTAAAACCGTAATGGCTAAGTTGAATCCTTTACTAAGTAACCTAACTAATTTCTTTAACAATCTCCTTTATCTAATTCTGGGTCTATAAACATTTCGCTATAATTTCAGTTTGACTTATATAGCCTCCTTTTCGGACAGCATAATTGCATATACAATATAGTCATAGGCAAACAGATATAATTAGCCACTTTTAGCCTATGGCCATTCATAGCCACAGTTAACCATTTGTAATCGTTACAATGATCTTATAACCTGTGTATGCACAAGGGGATGCCCAATTAATAGTATTTTAATTCTTTTAAAATGTATAGTTTATAATTAGAGCATATTTGAAAATTAGTATTATTTCTGTTAAGATAGATACACACATGCCATTGGGAACTAAACATTAACTAGTCTTTGATAAAGATTACATATTATCATTTAATAATATTTTAATTTTAGTCAACAAGCCATTCATTAATTAAATCATTTTTAAGGGATTTCAAAAAACCTTCAATGGAAATTGGCTTTAATACAACCAGCAATCCCATAAGGCTCTTCACTCTGAACCATTCACTAACAAGTGCTCCAGCTGATAAGCAAGTTGGTTCTTACTCTGAACTGCCGACGCCATTAGGTCTCTGCTGGCCCTATGCTGATGGAGACTTTCTTAAGGACAGAAATGACTCTCTTAATAATTTACGTTCAACTGTAGAATACAACCATGGTGAAACTTCATCTGTTTCAACTTGGAATTTGAAATATAGAAACAGCAGTGTAGAAGACAATTTAACAGATGAAAGTGATTTATCAGAAAATGAAAAAGCAAATGGTACTTTATTCAGCTATTTTAAAAAGATGGACCTGAATTTAAAGCCAGAAACAATAGAAAATGTTCAAGAATCTTTCACAGTAGAATCAAGTGAAGTATTTCCATATCCTGATTTTCTCCCTCCTCCTTTCAATACGCTGGACTTGCACAAATTAGTCCTCTCAAAATCTGATAATTGGAAAGCAACAATGGAATCTCCAGAAAGGTGTATTAAACCTTTGATAACTCGTTTATTAGAAATGGAACGATTACAACATACTACTATACAAAAAGAGAGACCAAGATTACAAACTTCCTTCTGTACTCCAGCAGTTTCCGAACGACCCCCTTCCTCCAAAACTATACCCAAAATGAAACAGCCAAAACTTTCTGACTCTGTAAGTCTTCAGACAACTTGTGTAGATAAAACTAGAGAAAAAAGGAAAAAGAATTCTGCTTCTTGCAAGCTTGAACAAAATGCTTCACAATGGAATTGGAACAATAGTATTAGCAAATATAAATGCAATTCTAGATCACCATCACTAAAAAGTTCATCCACAGCAAAACAATTGATGGCAACTTATAACTTTAAAAATCCCCAAACCTCCACTCTAAATCCATGCCAAGAACTCTCAACCAGTCCTACTACTGCCCAGTCAACTCAATCACTGGTTAAAGTGGTCTCAACAAGACCTTGCCTGTCACTAAGGTCTCTAATATCAGTTTCACCTTTACCTCTGTCTTTTTCTGAAAATCAGAGGGAAGAAATGAAGGCACCAAGGACCAAAAAGGAACTTTACCGAAAACATATAGTATTGAACAGGCCATTCTATATTCAGAACTAAACTGTCTATCACCTTCATTTAGAGCTAAGGGTAAGTGCTCACCCATTGAGCAAAAATAACATTTCCCCCCATACATCTCAGTATGAGTAAATCTCTTTCAAGAAGCCCAGCTCAAATATGGTTCATTTCGAGATGCAGATATTAACACACACACACACACACACACACACACACACACACACACACACACACACACTACTTGATGTGATATGGAGCAGAACCTGTGGAAATCACTGCTGAGACCAGTGATTTATCAACCTAAGGTGACGTATTGGACAATCTTTTGCATGTTGTTTCAAATATTTACTAATGTTTCACTTAGTAAACTATTCTACTAAAAATATTTTGTTGTGATTGTTTCCCTGTATAATTCATCAATAAATTGTGTAATTGACTTATTGTTGCTGTAATTATTGTGTTCTATTATACACACACAACAGTTACCTCTATCAGTGATTTTTAAAAATTCTTCCCCCTTTGTTATCTTTTTTCTTTCCCTTCCCATCTCCACAATCTCTTTTGTCTATTATTTTGACCTACTCTTTGGGTACTTGACCATTAAATGCTAAGGAAGTTGCTATCTTGTTAATATAAGATCCTCATGGTTCTCCCATGAATTCTTATAAACTTTCCATTCCCCAGGCCCCTTTTATTTGAAAAGATTCTTTTGGGGCCTAACTGTAGGTTTAGGCATGAAACAACCCTCTTCCACTTAAATCTAAGTTTTTAAATGTCCAAGGAAAAATGGGAAAAAGTCACTGTCCACAGGGAAGCCAGAATCTCATGTAATGAAATCCCGCTCCCCACGCTGCACCCCCCAAGACTCTTGGTTGCTGGAAATCTTAAGCCTGGTTAGTTGAAATTCAAACTAAGCTAAAGCTTAACTCATTAACTGGTGAAAAGGGAAACTATGGATTGACACTGCACCTAAGAATCAGGAACACAAAAAAATATAGTTCTATTGCAGGCTTAAACAAACAGAATTTTTGGGAGTGGGGCCTGGGATCTACAAAATAATCAAACATCCCAGATCATTTTAATGCAGGTGGTTCTCAGATCACACTCTGAAGGAAAAACCTGATGTAACATGCTCAGCTGTTTGAATATTTGGGGAGGCTGCTTTGGTTTTAGTGGTTAGTTGAATTTAGTTTTCCTTAAACATTAAAATAAAGCCACCTGATTAAAACTCCAAACATTAACCCCCAAAGATAAATATGAAAAAGTCCTCTCACCATTCGCAAACCCCCAACAAAGGAAGTCAAAGGAAGTCAGGGATTGTCATTCTCCTCATCCCTGCCCTCACTTCCCCCAAGATGGAATATTTGTGGTAGAGATGAATAAAAGGATAAATGTTGACAACAACTATAGTTTAAAATCCACTCTCTATAGGAGAGTAGGGAGGAGCATTTTAGAGGTAGTGGTAATCAAGGAATAGTCTGTCAGGAGTTACATGAAGCTGATCATACAGTAAAGGACTGCTTTGATTCTTTGGAGTGCAAGTGCGTTTGAGTGTTCACACGCATGCTGGGGATGGAGAGGGAGTGTACAGGAAAGGGAAGGGCAAATTTTTGGAAACAACCGGACTACTTTATCTAGGATGTCATTAGGCCTAAACAAAAAGGAGCTACTGTAATACTTTCCAGATATTAAAATATATTAGCAGCATTGCTGATTTCAATTATGAAGTAGAGACAAATAATTTCAATATCATGGTCACTTAGTAAAAATAGTCACCAGGAATCTTTTTTCTGTTTAAACGGAGCCCTAAAATGAGGCTAAATTTTGTGTAGGAAATGCATGTAGCCACCACAAGTCCATTTTGTAGGATGATATAGGGGAAACAACTTGGTTCAAATAGGCAACACATGACTTTGATAAACTCATCATGGGTGATGGGATGGAGCGGGGGATGTAGTTATACACAAATTCAAATATTTGTCTACCTATGAGTTCTGTTGAGACAAACTCACCATTATTTTTGAATAAACATTTAGAAAACTTTGTAACAGAGCCATATAATAAAAATAAAAATTTTGTTCAGGATATTTCAAACTTGGCTTGCTCATAAATTTCCACGTTTAGATATCTAGGTCTAAACTTAACTCTTTGGATCTTAACAGAGAAATGCTTTTTCATCAGTGAGAGAAAGCACATGTAAAAAATGGCTTTTCTCCTGAAGGTTGGCAGCAACGTCCTCCCCAATCCAATCCTCTGTGAATTACTTTCCCTAATAAAAACAGGATCTCATGGCCTTTGTCAACCATTTTAGATGATTATATAATTCTTAATCTTCTGCCAGCCCAAGTAGAAAACTACACTCGGGGTCTTTACAAGGCTACCCAGAGCCAATGCCATTCAGCCCTCATTTTTTAAAAAATCAGGACTCAACCATACTAGTCTACTGGCCTCTCGGTGGTGGGGAGCTCCAGGTGGTCAAGCACATTCTATTATATGAAGCCAGACACTGGCCCTTCAATTTCCAATCCTGCTTTGCATGTGTTAAAGCAGCACAGGACCTCATAAATATTTTATTCACTGTTTTAAAACACTGACAACAGCCGAAACCGGTTTCGGCTGCTGACCTGTGGACTGAAGGGTCCCAGGTTCGATTCCAGTCAAGGGCATGTACCTTGGTTGCGGGCACATCCCCAGTAGGGGGTGTGCAGGAGGCAACTGATCAATGGTTCTCTCTCATCGATATTTCTGACTCTCTCTCTCTTCCTTCCTCTTTGTAAAAAATCAATAAAATATATTAAAAAATCAATAAATAATAAAACACTGACAACATTTTCTTAGAAGAAAATGAAGAGTGATTAGACTGAGGATAAGCATCAGGCCTCCCCATCTGCAATAAATAATTTAAGTCATTACAGAAAGGGAATTATCTCATTGCTTACTATGCTTCTATCACTAAGAAAGCCAAATTAAAAATACATGTAAAATAAAATATGAACACAATACCCTTTGGTGAATGTTCTGTACTTAGTTGCTTCGAAAATGTTTTGATGTCTGAAAGGGTGATCATACTAAATTGGCTGATTTCAAGCTGCAGGTGTGAAAGGGCAGATTCCACAAAGTAGTTTGGTAAGATTCTCTCCCACACCGTTCCTCATCACTGAGATTTACAAAGTACACCAGTTTTCAGTCTTCTGAAAACTTTTAAATATTTAATTTAACCTGGCAATTCCCAATCATATTTTAGCACAGAATCATTTTTGAACCATATCTGTGACCAGCAGTAAAACAGTACTTAAGAAACATCAGGTAAGAAATGGTGTCTTTAATTTAAAACTTAACATAACCAAGCAAAGAAAAAAATCAGGAGACAATATAGTTAACAAGTGGCATATTTTATTATATTTCCCCTAATACGTTGATTGGGAACATTGCTGCTAAAATGCAAGTTACAATTCAAATGATACCACAAACAATTAGAATGCATATTGAGTATTTTCAGATTTCAGCTTCCATATCTTGATCACTAAATGGAAAGATTCTTCAGAAGAACTGTCCCTTACCCTACATATAGAAGGAAAAGAACAATTAAAGATGCCATGATGATATCTATCAAAATAACTGGGAAACATTTAAAAACTCAATTTAGTGTACATTACTGACATGTGAAAAACACAGATGAATGTGTACTGATCATTTCTATAAGGAGGGCTTTCCATCTAAGAGAATAAAATTCATGTTGAATATTTGATTGAACTAGGTAGGATACTATGAAGAAACATTTTATGAAACCCAATTTTAATAATGTCATTATAACTAAGGGAAGGAAGTTACACATTTGAATAACATGCTTCTTTCTTATCTCCAACATTTAAAAGGGCATTCCGTAACTACATGGCATAACTTTTCTGGTATGTGATTCCTTTATTTCATTTCAGAGATTTTATTTCTACCTAGCCAGCTAGAGTTCTGCTACAAAATAATGATAGATTAAGTACAAGTAAAATATAGTATTTGTTCTCAGTAATGGAACTAATCTGAGAACAATACATTTCACTGCCTCTACCACATACCATAAAACATACATTTCCGTATTATAAAAATGTCCTGAGTATTTGTTTTAATTAGGGGAAAAAGTGGTGATTATAATGGTAAAAAGTAACAATTCTTTTTAAAACATAAAATTATTTTTGAGAAAAAGTAGAGTGGAATGAGATAGGCATTGGGGAATGAAGAAACAGGATGCTAACAATCAAAACTTAAGGGTAAATAAAAGTAATGGATGGTTTTAAGATTTATGACAAGATGCTACATCCTTTCAAAGCCTCAAAATTCCAACCTAATTTCTAATAACCTTCAAGAATAAGGTCCACATAGGACCTTATTTAGAACTGTGTCCAAAACCTATATGCTTCCTTAAAATCTCAACTATTCCCCCAACTGCAGAAAGAACTATGACATCTTGGAGAGTTATGTCCTAAGATATGAGCCCTTAAGTCTGACAATCACTTGATATACTTGTATCATTTTTGCCATAGAGTGTGTAATAAAGCAAAATCTTCATAATTATATTTGAAAACTATATAGCAACTCTGAAACATTAATACAAGTTTTTAAAGGATTATTCACTAAATACCTCAACCCAACAGAGGTCTTACAGAGTTCCAAATTTCTGCCTCAGCAAATGTTACAAATTCTAATAATGTCATTTATATAGACTGTTTACAGGTTCTTGTCAAATAGATTAATTTTGATATAAAAGATCAAAATTATATCACCTCTCATTTCCCCTAAGAAGAAAAACTGACAATGGCTCTAAATATTTTGCCTGATTTAAGACCATGACTGGAGCACTTGTTAAAAATAAAATTACTAAAGGGCAAGTTGGAGAATAAGTTATTAAAGGAGTTGAATAGTGTTCCTAAAATTCCAGTTTCTATTCTTTTTCATTTGCCAAGGAGATAAGATACCCAAGCTGAAGACTATGTTTTGATGTTTGCTGTTTTCTTAATAATCTTTAGAAACCAAATTTAAAAACCATGATA